TGTATGTTCATGACCCAGTGTCATCGGGTTCGGGTCGACCCAACGGGTTATGACTTTGGTTTTTCAAATTTTTAAATTCACATTAACACTTACATTTTCTATTAAATAAATTTAAAACATCAAAAAAATGTATTAAATCTATAAAATTATTATTTTTAACTCGGGAGTAATTTTTAGATGTATAAATCAATATAAGGAATTTAAAAATGCTTAAGTTTTGGAAAAAAGTAAGATAAACATGCAGTATCATTAAAATTTTATGTGAAAATATAAATTTATACACTAAAAACGAGTAGTAAAGTGTATACTTTTGAAAAATTCTTACTTTAGCGGGTCAGGTCAGGTTCGGTCGGGTTGTTTGACCTATTTTTAGCGGGTCATTTCGGGTTCAGTCATCAAAACCTTTATTCAAAATACAGTGTTTTCAGATCGGGTTTCGGGTCAAAAAAGTCGGGTCATTTTTTGTCAGGTCTAATTTAATGTAATACTCGCAAATTTATAGGGAGAATTGAAAGACTCAAATAGAAATTAAACATAAAGAAAAAATCAAAATGAATTCTTCATATTTTTTATTATTAAAATAAGATTTATAATTTCAATAATGAAATCATTTAATACCAACAAACACTACGAGATCTTAATCTACAGTGTCACATTGTCAGAACGTAATAATCATTTTTTAAAGAAAAACATAGAACTTTTATTTTGGGAATGAATAATTTTTTCCTTCTATTTTAGATGACTTTTAAAATTTTCATAAATTTAATCAGTTTTTTAACTTAACACAAAATCATACTCAGCACCCTCTCCAATCCAAAATATTAGCATAACTGGACATTTTTTAGTCAAATTGTACGAACTTTAATAATTAATTACATTAGATCTATATTGCATATTACACCTTTTTTTCTTAGAGTGTTTTGTCTAATTTTAACTTTTTATAGCCAATTAAGATTGATCATTAACTTTTTACCAATTTAAACCAAAAAAATTAAAAAATAGACAAATATTTTAAGAGGGGGAATTAAAATAATACACTCCATACAATAAAAAAACAAAAGTAAAAAATAGGGAGAGAGAGTAAAAAAGAGGAGAAAGTAGAGTCACTACTAGAGTGAATAGAGGGGGGCATTGAATTGAAGTGGGGGGGCCCAGCATCTGCGTTTCCCTAACTCAGCCAGCCACAGGCAGCCCACCCACCAAAATCCAAAACTCCAATTTCATCAAAATATTCCAAACGCAACACTCCAAGTGAAAGAGAACAAAAAGAAAGACAGTCATGATATGATGACGCCACGCCGGTCAAATTTTACCCCTCCCCCCCCCCCATAAATGCCGCCGGTCTTCCCCTTCATTCATTCTTTTCACTGAATTTGAAGCTCATCAATTTATGAATTTCTGTGCTAGCTGCTAGCTTCTAGCTTCACCACTACCCCCATACGCCCCCCTTCATGATACATGCAAGATGGTGACTCTATCATTCAAAAGCGATCATGATTTCTTGCTTTATAGAGACATGTATATATAAATATAATCCTCCATTTGTCCTTAAATATTTGTCATACTTATATTTTTGAGATAAAATATCAAGTTTTTTCAATTCATTTTATTTACATATTGGCATAGAAATAAAAAATAAAATTTACATATCAAAAAACTACATGAAAAGTTCTTCGAAATAAGATGTGTCAAAAATATTTTATTTTATCAAATAACCAATGAAAATGTAGAAATAAACAAAAGTTCTCGTGACTGCTGAAAAAGAAAGTGTGACAATATTTTGAGACGGAGGGAATATAATGATTATTGGAATGTGGTATCCAATATGGGAGGAACGAAATATTTAAATGATCCCGAGAGTAATTATCTATAGTGAAATTTGCACTGAATAGGACTAAAACATAAATCAGTTCCCAATGTAAATCTTAAACTTTTTTATTCTCTAAATAGGACTTAATAATGACTAGTGAGAAAAATAATATCCAAATGATGTTAGACATTTAGTTGAATAATGACTAGCTAATAGATAATGACCAATTGTCCTACATAAGGAAATAAAAACATATGGTCCTATATTGAGAAAGTCATTATGTTTTAGTCCTATTTAGGTAAATTACCCGAATACAAATACTCATTATATTTCAAATGGGAGTTTGTGTTAAAAGAAATGAAAATTCAAATATGAGTTCAGATTTAAATGTTAAATAAATTTAAATATTCTATCTGTTCTAAAATAATGTTACCCACGTCCCTGATCATTAATTTATTTAGTTTTGATAAACTTTGACCACTAATTAAATTAAATTTATATTAGATATTGATACGAATTAAAAATAATTTTATTACATTTGTGTTATATGCCCCCTTCGTTTTAGAATGATCTTTTCAAATACTATTCCAATGGTCAAATTACAATCACTTTCTTTATCTATTTCTTTTAGTTATTTGATAAAATAATATAATCATGTCACCTCTTTTTATAGACCTTTTGATGTATAGTTTTAAAATATAATTTTTTTTAAATTTTACACCTATAATCAAATAAATTGAATTGAAAATAATTTAAGTCAAACTTCGTAAACCGAACTGGTAAGATCATTTTTGGACGGAGGGAGTAATATTTTCAAAAATAATTTTTTTACATTTGTGTTATATAGTATTAATAAGAATTCTTACTCAAGGAGTGTATTATTTAGTTGTAATTTTTGACAAACATAATTTCGAATTGATTTGTTCTATAAAAAGAATATAAATTGACTTGTAATAAAGTAATTTAAAATTATTATTAAACATATATAAAGTCTATCCAAGTATCAGATTTAGGCTCTACACTTTACCACCAATTTGCGATCAAAATCAAATTTACTTTCTCTCAGTGACCATCTAGCCAGGTCTGAGAGGGCCCTCGGGGATGTGGCTCATCCTTTCTTTATTTGAGAGATTAAAATTAAGTAAGTTAGTAAGAGGTGTTTAAAATTTTTACACAATAATAATAGTAATATTAATTATGGTAGTCTTTGCTTATTAGCTAGTCTGTTTTTATTTATTAGGTTGATTCCTATTTGTACAGGGGAATGTTTCCTATATATATTATTGTATCTTCCATTACTCTTTGAGTAAAACTATGATTCCAACACGGTATTAGAGCAAGGGTTTCTCCCTTTTTAAAATAGTGTGCATGCTCAACAGTTGCAATCGATCTCGACGAACATGTCTATCAGCCGCCATTCTTTATCCTTCTTTCTCTCCAACAAATTATAAGTGTGCCTAACTACTGTCGTCATTTATCCTTCAATCTCTGTCCAAAACAAATTAGGTGCGTCATAAAAAAACTAGAAAGCTGCGTTGGTCTGTGTTTCTTCTAGAGTTTGAGAGCATGAAAAACGATAGAGAAGCAGAGAACGCCAAGAATGAAAGAAAGAAATCCTCGCCCTCGCTCTTATCACTAACACCTTCCCTAGGGAAAAATTTAGCAAACATACTCTCAAGCTCGCTCGTTATGGAATGAAAATCTTCTTCTCTACTTCTAGCAGTTATTCTCACAAAACCGCTTCCATCGACTCTGTTCCAGTAAAAATGCTCCAAGCTACTCATCGTTGGCATGGTGATCGATATGATGATCAGCTTGGGGGGATATGGTTACCATAATTGTTAGTCTATTATGATTAGAATTTTCTCTTGTATTTCTTATATCGCAAATTCTTTCTTGGACCTAAGGTCCGCACTCATTTCATGGACCTTAGTACATTTGTAGCACTAAAGAAGCAAAGTGGACCTTTAACAAAAAGTAAAATATCCAAATGCAAGTCCATGAAAAATGTGATAAGCTTCACATTTTAAATGTGCACCTTAGGACTACGTAATCATTGCTTTTCCGATCCTATGAATACGGATTAAACCTTCATTATTCAATTAGATCAATTATTATCAAATTGTGTAAAAAAATAAATAAGAATGAAGAAATTGCAAACAAAAATAGTTAATTAATTGATTAAATTAACAATACTTCAGTTGCAACAGTTCGATTCAGGATTTTCAGTTCTCATTTTTTGAGAACTTGTGCGAGACTATTTTAAAAAGTAAATGGTTGGATTTGGATTATATATGTTTACCTCAAAGGTAACATTTGAAACTATTTTTTTTGGGTCGAGTATAATATGGGTCATGCACGAAATAATGTGTGATTGGTATTTTTGCATAAAACGATAAGAGAGGATCTGTAAGAGGAAAATAATGAAAGGAAAAAAGAGGAGTTTGTTTGTGTGTATGGAGAGCGACGAGTCTGTGTGTAAGTAGTGATGAACCATTATAAGTTTGGCACTGAAAAACATGGCACTCTCTTCTCTCTCTTCCTCGTGTCTCCCTCTTTTTTCTTTTTGACATTTATAAGGCTTGCAGTGCATAATAGTAGCAGTTCAGTAGGACATCACTGTTCTTTCTCCCCCTGTCCTCTTTTTTTTCTTTCTTTTTCTCTTTTTTACCCCTATGATTAACATTATTTTCCCTATGATTAGCATTCTCCCATATCAGATTTTACTCCCTGCATCCCTAGAACTTTACGTTTACATTTTACTTAAAACGAAGTAAAATTTTACGTTTTTTTCAATTCTTTTTATTTAAAATTAATATATAAATAAAAAATAAAACTTATATATATAAAAAGTACATAAAAAATTCTACAAAATATAGGTGACAATAACTTTTTATTTCATCAAATAGCTAATGAAAACAAATAAATAAACAAAAGTTTCAGTGATTTTTGAATAGTTAAGTGAGTCATTTAGAGATGGAGGGAATATATATTTATGAATATGATTGGTAAGTTTATACAAGTAATACGGAGTATTAAATTTTGAAAATTATATGATTAATAATTTTTCAAATTAATAGAAAAATATTATCAATCACATACTCTTTTCTTAGAGCACTGGAAATACGTTTGAAGCCCCGGGGCTTCAAACTGGGGCTTCAAACTTTCTCTCTCTGCCACGTCAGCTTTAACTTATACCAAAAATTTACTGAAAATGGGTTTGAAGCCCCGGGGCTTCAAACCTTCATTTTTTACATTTTTAAATATACATCTTCTAAAATTATATTAATAAAATGTAATTAATTTATTATTTAATTATCTTGAAAAACAAATAATAAAAAAAATACATTCATTAAATTTAAAGAAATTGAAACGACAATAATTTAAAATTTAAAAAATTACATTCGTTAAATAAAAAAAGCGACAATAATTAAAAAAAGATACATTAATAAAAAAACTAAGGTAAATTATATTTCGCCTTGATCTCTCTTATTCTTTGCTCGTAGATCATTCGTCTGAAACCCGACAACGTAGAAAGGTCGGTTTCCATGACTTTGATCTCGTCCTCCTGCTCCTTTAGCTTCAACTCCTTCTCCTTTAGCTTCAACCTCTCTTCTTGGAGATTGAACACCCGAAGTTGTTCAACCATTGCCCGGCCGATTTCGTCGCGAGAAGAAACGGAAACAGAGCCGGACCCTCCTGAACCCGAGGCAATGAATTTTGCCTTCTTTCTTCCGATCGGCCGTGGAATAGGGTCCTCGTCATCGGAATCCGCAACGTTGAAGGGAGGGATTTGATCGGATGAACCGATAGTCTCGTCGACCTCAACCTCGGCGTCAACGGAGGATCTTTTCCGGAACGATCCGCCATCGGGATTGTTGAGTTGTTGCCACTTCGGGGAACGGGTCAAAATCCTCCAAAGATCGATGGGCACCTTGCCTTGGTGCCCGTCATCTTGATACCGGGTCGTGGCAAGCCGGAGAACATCGGCGTTGTTCGTCCCGCTCCTCCGGGACCGGGAGCATTCCTCGTAAACTCCGATAAACTTTCGGACTTTACGGTTGATGTGGCTCCATTTGGAAGTGAGTTGGTCCCGGGTACGGTAGGAGTCGTCCTTGTTCATCGCCATGAAGAACTTCTCCTCGATACGATCCCACATCGCATCCTTCGTTTGCTCCGAGCCTTTAAAAAAATATAACACGTGCAAGAAATCAAAGAATTTCTGGGGGCACTAGCACGAGCAAAAATGGTTGAAAAGTCTACTGTTTGAAAGAGAGTAAAACAACACGAAATCCCAGGAGCTAATCCAAAATAACCTACTCGATTGACAGGCATAGCTTTGATAGCTGCTTTATCTGCCTGAAGTCGTGTAAACCAGAAATGAATTTTTTTAATGACACGATTAAATATAATTTTATATAAATAAAAATATAAATATATTAGAAAAAATATAATTTTTACCAATGATAGGATGCTGAGACGTCAACCCAAGTCGACGCCAATAAGCACTCCTCATCCGGCGTCCACTTTTGGATTGACCGTGCCGCCTCGGTCATCGTGCCTTTTGCTTTGTGGCTTTTCCGGCGTGTACTTTTTTTCGACCCGGTCGATTCCGGTTGAGTCTCCGAAACCGAATCTCGCTCGACGTACCCCGATTGTTGCGTCTCGAAGATCGGCGGTTGATCGCCGAACTCTTGGTAATACCACATCGCGGTGTCGCTTGGCGCGAGATTGTCGGGAAAAAAGCCGGACCCGGAAGGATTCATATTGAAAAGAGAGGGAGGGAGTTTGAAATTGAAGAAGAATGAAGAAGAGTGAAGAAGGTGTGAGAGATTGGGAGGGGAGGGGGGGTTTGAATTTATAACAAAAAAAATAATTTTCCTTTTTTTTGCCTTCAACGGCTATTAGAGCCGTTAGGGAGGAGGGGGGAGGGGAATCACAAGCGTCATTCGTTTGACGCAGCTCCTATAACGTCACGGTAACGGCGCAGGGGGCGGTGTTTAACGCCCTCCGGGCGTGAAAAGCTGCTTAACGCCTTCGGGTGTGATGGGTATACCGAGTGCCCTTAAGGGTAAGAGGAGACACCATGTAGTTTACTAGCTTTATCTGGGTTTTTTGTACAAACTACAAAGTGAGATATATACAAAATTGAAAAGGTAAATTTTATAGTATGGACTATATCGAGTAATTAAGATTGGATTGAAAAAGTAAAAAAACGTATAAATATGTGCAAAAAATTATTTTTGAGTGACGCGAGTTTTGTTAAAATAATTCGCAGGTCCATGCGTTTTCAAAAGGACAAAAGAAGACCTTGCATTTTGTTGTAAAAACTGGAAAGGGACATTCCACCCACTATTCCGTTAATGTCCGTTAAAAAAATATATTTTTCTCATTTTGTCCTTGCTGTCGTCATTTTATTTGCATTTATTTTTTATATGAGAAATATTTTTGAATTTTTGAAAAGCACTTATATAAGAAATTGAAAAAACTTTTTTAAAAAAAATAAAAAGTGAAGGCCCTGATCGAGCTTTATTAACATCGGTCCAAAAGGTGAAATCCCCCACCCTAGACGATACATTTTAGATGAGCTTTATTAAAATCGATCCAACCTTTTTAACATAAAACTATCAATGGAAAAAAATTGGTGCAATACATTTTTAAATGGTCTTTTACAGAAAAACAAATAAATGTCTCCTCTAAATTTTTACAATAAAATATTATGGCTCCTGATGTCTTTTTTCTAATAGAAAGACCTCCAAACTATTTAAGCAAAACTTGCATCATCTAAAAGTAAATCTGAAATATGTACCACAAAAATGTTAGATATTCATTTCATTTCTAACTGAAAAAGTATCCTTGTTTTGACTTATTTGGATCAAACAGTCATATCTGATCTTTTACTCATAAATTCAATAAATTGACTTCATCTTGATTCTTGAGATAAAGAAGTTACCGAGAATTCAATTAAGCTTCTAAAGTGATATGTGACAAAATTATTGTGAGGAAAAAAGATACCCAAATAAAGAAGCATAGATGAAGGAAAATAATTAATAGTGCAGATAAAGAGTATAATCTTTTTCTTTATAAAAATGAATTATAAATTAAATAATGAGAGAGGCCAGCGAGGGTTGTATCATTAATAATACATTCTTCAATGCTCCGACCAAGGCTGGATCATCTAACAAAGATCTTCAAATAGTCCAAACACTACATCTAACTCATCTAACCACCATGCGCCCAATCTCGACACTAGCTGCGCCCAGATGGAGCATACATACATACATATATGTGTGTGTCTATATATATATATATATATATATATATATATATATATATATATATATATATATATAGTATATATAGAGAGAGAGATTATTTCAAGTGAGAATGATCAACGAGAATAGATCTTATCGTTAGAGTGATGCATTCTGAGGTCACCACGATGCATTTTACTCTTCTAGTAGTGCATTTTAATTTCAGCACTGACAGAAAATTTTGTTTCATTTACACAATATTCTGTATAGAATTAATATTTGTCCAATTTGACTGAAAAAATTTAAATTTCACAAATATAATATTCTAGTTGTTAGAATATAAATAACTATTCTTGGGCCACAACCACAAGCTTGAGCTTTTGGTTGAATTGGTTCCTTGACATGGTATCAGAGCCTCGTTGACTAAGAGGTCACGGGTTCGAAACTCAGCGCCACCCAGTTTAAAAAAATTTAAGGTTTCACGTGCAAGGCTCGAAAAAGACTACGCCTGCACGTGAGGGGCGTGTTAGAATATAAATAATTGTTTCTGGGCCACAACCACAAGCTTGAGCTTTTGGTTGAATTGGTTCCTTGGCACTAGTAATATAATACTAAAGTTTTTGTTTCTATTTACAATAATTGATAGAATTTAGGATGAGGTATGGACAACTGAATTGGGTAATAAGAGCAAAATAATCGGTATATAAGCTCTTGAGTTGAACTAACTAATCAATTGGATTCAATCTTTTAATGTGGTTCAACCTAGGTATCTTATTGCCCAATCTAGATATCTTAACCCCATCCCAAATTTTGTCATGGTATCAGAGCTGGTTTTGGTCCACCTCGTTTGTCAAGGTGTCCGTCTAGACGTTCATTCCTAGCGGCCCATTTGTCTTTAGCCCAGTTGTCCGTATGGAGTATGTACCCAACGGCCTGTGGCCCGTTTAACACGATTGCTCGTCTGGAAGTCCATACCCAGCGGCTCGTGGTCTTTTAGGTGTTGGCGCTCAAAAAAATATCAAGGGGATGGGAATCTATTTGCAAATGGTCAACCGGTTAGATTCAAAATGGCCCGGTCATCCACTTGAGGGGGAGTGTTAAGAGTATCCCACATCGGAAAAGTGTGAGGAAAATAATTAGTATATAAGTTCTTGAATTGAACTAACTAATCGATTGGATTCAATCTTTTAATGTGGTTCAACCCAAGTGCCTTATTGCCTCAATCAAGTTATCTCTACCTGAAAGAATTATTTGGAGAGAATTCTCTGTATTATTTCTTGTCTTGTGAAACTTTTTCTGAATACAAAGATCTAACCCTCTTTATATAGGAAGATGGTAAAGTAAAAAAGGAAATTTCTATTCCTACTAAAATAAGAATTAAACAAATTAGGAAAGATACTAAATACTAAATCTAATCCAACTAGGAAAGATACTAAACCTAATCCCAAAAGATTCGGTTTCCTTCTTCAATCCCGCTTCCTTCTTCTATCTCTAACACCCCCCTCCTCAAGCTGGAGCATGGGAGTTCAACATGCACACCTTGGACATAAAAAAACGTTCCCTCGGTTCGCGCATCTGCGCAAGCTTCTCCGGCAGGTCCCACGTGCAATTCCTACACGTACAAATTGGGAACTGCTCCAAACCTGCAAGAAATGTTTCCTCGGTTCGTGCATCTGCGCAAGCTTCTCCGGCAGGTCCCACGTGCAATTCCTACACGTACAAATTGGAAACTGCTCCAAACCTGCAAGAAACGTTCCCTCGGTTCACGCATCTGCGCAAGCTTCTCCGGCAGGTCCCACGTACAATTCCTACACGTACAAATTGGGAACTGCTCTAAACCACAGAAACTGAGCAACGAACGATGGACGCGATGCCGGACGATATTGAACAGTAACCGCGATCAAGAGAAACTACCGTCGGGACGGTCGACCCACTCGACCGTTCTTCAGCAACGGTCGACCGTTCCGGTACTTCAGTAGCAATAACACGCGACGATCGATTGACGCGATGCCGGTCGATCGTGAACAGTAGACGCGGAAAGAGTTGTTTGTCTCCGTAAAACAACCCTTGTCCGACCACTTCTTCAAGAATGAGGGAGGACAATCAAAAAAAATAAAAAAATAAAAAATCACAATATCCCGCCGGTAGGCATTGAATTGTGTATGCCCACCGGCAGGGGAAGAAGCGTGTTTGAGGTCTCAAGAATTCAAAACTGGCTCCGATACCATGAAAGAATTATTTGGAGACTGTATTATTTCTTGTCTTGTGAAACTTTTTTTGAATACAAAGATCTAACCCTCTTTATATAGGAAGAGGGTAAAGTAAACAAGGAAATTTCTATTCCTACTAAAATAAGAATTAAACAAACTAGGAAAGATACTAAATACTAAATCTAATCCAACTAGGAAAGATACTAAACCTAATCTCAAAGGGATTCAGTTTCCTTCTTCAATCCCACTTCCTTCTTCTGTCTCTAACACTTTCCTTCTTCAATCCCGCTTCCTTCTTCTATCTCTAACACTACCCAATCCAATCCCACTTCCTTCTTCTGTCTCTAACACTTTCCTTCTTCAATCCCGCTTCCTTCTTCTATCTCTAACACTACCCAATCCTAAATTCTATCAATAATTGGTTGAAGTTATTTTCTATGAACAGTTGATTTGTGAATAGTGAAAAAAACTTAATTAGAAGGGGAGTGAGTAATTACTTTTCTTTAAAATGAAGAAAAATTGAAGAAGCTCAAATCGTGGATAAATCACCCAAACAATGATTGAGTTTGATTTAATTCAATTTTCGGATAGATACAGTTCATAGTAAACACTGGAATAGGCTAATTCTTGAATCTCGACTAAAACTGCCCTTTCAAGTTTCAACATGTAACTATATTTTTTTCATGCTGAAAAAGAAAGAAAGATTAAAGAAACAAAGAGCTAAGGGGTGAGGTGTCATCATCATAAGTTTATTAAAACTAAAACAAACAAACAAAAAAACAAACCAAAAAAAGAACAAACATAATATTTGAGTTAAAATGTAGTATGATAAAGTATTTATTTTGTTCATTCATTCATCCATC